CAGGAGGTCATCTCGTGGCTGGACGCCAACACCCTGGCTGAGAAGGATGAATTTGAGCACAAGAGGAAGGAGCTGGAGCAGGTGTGTAACCCCATCATCAGTGGACTGTACCAGGGTGCAGGTGGTCCCGGGCCTGGGGGCTTTGGGGCTCAAGGTCCCAAGGGAGGGTCTGGGTCAGGCCCCACCATTGAGGAGGTGGATTAGGGGCCTTTGTTTCTCCTAGTATTTTTGTCTTTGACGTGAACCGTTTGGACTCAAGGACTTTGCTGCTGTTTTCCTGTCTTTTCTGTTTCAGCTCTTTGCTGCTTCACTTTTTTGCAAAGTTAAGTTGTAATCTGATGGTAATTAGCTGGCTTCATTATTTTTGTAGTACAACCAATATGTTCATTAGAATTCTTTGCATTTAATGTAAGTTGGTACTGTAAAGTTGTTTTGTTCCCCTCAAATGAATCAACACTGCCACCTTCTGTACGATTGTTTCTTTGCTTTGCAAAGACACTGCAAAGGCTGAGAATGTTGTTTTTATAATTTGTTTACTTAAATATGAAAAATAAAATGTTAAACTTGTTCTTGTCTGTTGATATGGGGGATAATGGATATTTGGGGAGGCATCATGTGTGAATTCCATATAGTCTGAAAATGAGAGTACTTCTGAAGAAAGTTATACATGTAAGAATTAGGGCGACAAATATTTTTGTTAGGACAATTGTGGGTTTTTTGTTTTTTTTTTTAAGAGAAATTGCAGGTGCCCGTTTTGATTAGAGAGGGGCTTGTTTCAGGGAAAAGTAGGGGTGGCACCTGCCGAAGGGTGTTGGAGGGGTGGCTGATGTGGGTTAACTGGAGTGGGAAGGGAAGGGGTGATGCTGAGAGGGGATCATGGTCGATTTCTCTCCCTCCTGCACGTAGTGAGTAGAGTCCATAAAAAGATGCTCACTTTTCTTTTCTTTTCTTTTTTTTTTTTTTTTTTTTTTTTTTTTTAGATGGAGTCTTGCTCTGTCGCCCAGGCTACAGTACAGTGGTGCAATCTTTGCTCACTGCAACCTCTGCCTCCCATGTTAAAGTGATTCTCCTGCCTCAGCCCACCCCCCCACCCCACCCCCAGTAGTTGGGACTACGGGTGCCCACCACCATGCCTGGCTAGTATTTTGCATTTTTAGTAGAGTCAGGGTTTCACTCTATTAGGATGGTCTCCATCACCTGACCTCAGCTCATATTCATTTAAATGTGGAATCTAAACAGTAAAACTCAGAAGTGGAGAAGTGGTGGTTACCAAGAGGCTGTGGGATAGGGGAATGCGAAGATGTTGTGCAAGGAGAATAAAGCCTCAGACAGAATACGTTGTATTTTTTTTAATGGAATATTGCTTTTGTCTCCCAGGCTTACAGTACAGTAGAGCTCACTGTAGTATTGAACTCCTGGGTTCAAGCAATCCTCCCATCTTAGCCTCCTGAGTAGTTGGGTCTACAAGCATGTGCCACCATACTCGGCTTTTTTTTTTTTTTTTTTTTTGGTAGATACCAAGTCTCGCTCTGTTGACCAGGTTGGTCTCGAACTTTTTTTCTCAAGCTATTCCCTTGCCTATGCCTCCCAAATTACTGGGATTATAGGCGTAAGCCACTGTGCTGGCCTATTTTTGTTTTTGTGGGGAGGAGTATCTATTGGATGGTATGGTGAACATAGTTAATAGTGTGTTGTGTATATATATTTTTTTCCTTTTTTTTGAGACAGTCTCTGTTGCCCAGGCTGGAGTGTAGTAGTGAGATCTCAGCTCACTACAACCTTTGCCTCCTGGGTTCAAACAATTCTCTGCCTCAGCCTCCAGAGTAGCTGGGATTATAGGCACCTGACACTATGCCCAGCTAATTTTTGTATTTTTAGTACAGACGGGGTTTCACCATCTTGGCCAGGCTCATCTTGAACTCCTGACCTCATGATCCACCCACCTGGGCTTCCCAAAGTGCTGGGATTACAGGCATGAAGCACCTCGCTTGGCCCATATATTTCAAAATTTCAAGTGCGCTTATCACAAAAATATTTGAAGTGATATGTTAATTACCTTGATTTAATTACTGCATATTGTGTTCAGAGATAATATCACTTTGCACCTCTTAAATATATACAACTAAGGTTTGTCAATTTACTAAAAGAGTTTTAAAATCAAATAAAATGGGCTGGGCCCGGCAGCTCATGCCTATAATCCCAGCATTTAGGGAGGCTGAGTCGGGTGGATCACTTGAGATCAGGAGTTCAAGACCAGCTTGGCCAACACGGCGAAACCCCATCTTTATAAAAATAAAATAAAATTAGCTGGGCACGGTGGTGGGTGCCTATAATCCCAGCACTAGGGAGGCTGAGGCAGGAGAATTGCTTGAACCTGGGAGGTGGAAGTTGCTGTGAGCCAAGATCGAACCACTGCACTGCAGCCTGGGTGACAGAGTAACACTGTCTCAAAAAATAATAAAAATAAAATTCGGCCGGGCGCGGTGGCTCAAGCCTGTAATCCCAGCACTTTGGGAGGCCGAGGCGGGTGGATCACGAGGTCAAGAGATCGAGACCATCCTGGTCAACATGGTGAAACCCTGTCTGTACCAAAAATACAAAAAATTAGCTGGGCATGGTGGCACATGCCTGTAATCCCAGCTACTCAGGAGGCTGAGGCAGGAGAATTGCCTGAACCCGGGAGGCGGAGGTTGCGGTGAGCCGAGATCGCGCCATTGCACTCCAGCCTGGGTAACAAGAGCGAAACTCCGTCTCAAAAAAAAAAATAAATAAAAAATAAAAAAATAAAATAAAATAAAATTCGAGGGGTGGGCAAAACAGCAACAATGAAATACAGGTTCACACCACGGCTCTGCAAATCCCAACTTGGATGACCAAGTCAAATTATTTAGGCTAACTTAGCTTTTGTTGCCTCCTTTTAAAATAAAGCATTTTGTCTGAATGGTCTTGCTTCAAAAGTTCTAAGATAGCCGGGCACAGTGGCTCATGCCTGTAATCCCAGCATTTTGGGAGGCTGAGGCAGATGGATTACCTGAGGTCAGGCATTTGAGACCACCCTGACCAATATGATAAAAGTCCGTCCTACTAAAAATACAAAAATTATCTGGGTGTGGTTGCATGAGCCTGTAATCCTAGCTACTCAGAAGGCTAAGACAGGAGAATTGCTTGAGCCTGGGAGGCGGAGGTTGCAAGGGAGCTGAGATCCAACCATTGCACTCCAGCCTGGTTAACAAGAGCGAAATTCTGTCTCAAAAAAAAGAAAAGTTCTAAGATTGTTTTGAGCAGAACTTGTGAGGTAGACTAACATTTTCAGCTATGGTCACCCTAGGTGTACTTATTTTAAGTAAGAGTCTGGAGGAGTGAGAGTTTGGGGCTATGGCAGTAAAGGAAAGATGAGCCAGGTTCTTTGCATCAACTCTGTAATCCTCATTGTATTTCCCTCTACATTAGGTATTCTAAAACCTTTTTGACAATTTAGCATATGGAAGTGGTCATTTGAACTGCATCCAGGGTCAAATTAGAGAGCAACAAATGACAGTTTGGGAGCCAAAGATTTTTTTCCCACTGCCTGAATATTGTTGGCATTTAGTAGTTCCTGTCTGGTTCTAAATGATGGTTTTACCTCAGATTTTACAAACAGTAGCCTCTTTGTCCTTTTTCATGGATGCTATAAAAAATAGCAAATTTAATTATGAGGAAAGGAGAAAAAAGCTGCATAGCATAAAAGGGGGAAGATTCTGGTAATGAGCTGTCCTCCCACAGAAGCCTTTCCTGAAGAGGTTCTTCCTGATATATCAGTTAAGTGTCCTTAACACTTTCTCCCCAAAACTGAGCCTGGAGATATCTACTCTAAAATCAGGCCGGGCATGGTAGCTCAACACCTGTAATCCCAGCACTTTGGGAGGCCGAGGCAGGGCAGGTGGATCACCTAAGGTTAGGAGTTCGAGACCAGCCTGGCCAACCTGGTGAAACCCTGTCTCTACAAAAATAGCAGCTCTTTGCTACAAAAATTAGTGGGCCATGATGGCACATACCTGTATTCCCAGCTACTCAGGAGGCTGAGACAGGAGAATCGCTTGAACCCTGGAGGTGGAGGTTGCAGTGAGTCAAGATCCTGCCACCGCACTCCAGCCTGGGCGACACAGCAAGACTATCTCAAAAAACAGAAATAAATAAAATGGTTAAAGTCCCATGTTGCACCTTTGTGTAAATCCTTACCATTTAGGAAAATCAAATGTTTTAGGGATGACATAATACTGGAAATCCTCCTTGAAAGTGTATAAAAGAAAAGGAATATAGTAAGTTTCTTTGGTTTTTGGGCCAATTCTTTTTTTTTTTTTTTGAGATGGAGTTTTGCTTTTGTTGCCTATGCTGGAGTGCAATGGCGCAATCCTGGCTCGCTGCAACCTCTGTTCCTGGGTTCAAGTGATTCTCCTGCCTCAGCCTCCAGAGTAGCTGGGATTATAGGTGCCTGCCACCACAGCTGGCTAATTTTTTGTATTTTTAGTAGAGATGGTGTTTTGCCATGTTGGAGAGGCTGGTCTTGAACACCTGACCTCAGGTGATCCGCCCGCCTCAGCCTTTTAAAGTGCTGGGATTGCCGGCATAACCCATCGTGCCTGCCCTTTGAGCCAATTCTTTTTTTTCGAACTGTGAGTCATGAGCCAATTCTTAAAGGCCTGTTTTATTCATAAAAAAGATGAAGTAAAGCCTCTGATCATAGCAGTTAGTAAAGGCAGTTTAACTGCCAAAACAGGAGGAATTAGGGCTTTCTGTACATTTTTTTTTTCCTTTGAGACAGGTTCTCACTCTGTTGCCCAGATTGGAGTGCAGTGCTGCTCACGGCAGCTTCAACCTCCTGGTCTCAACTGATCCTTAGCCTCCTGAGTAGCTGGGACTGCATATGCCACCATGGCTGGCTAATTTTTTTTTTTTTTTTTTTTTTTTTTGGTATACCTGCCAGGGAGTAGAGGGAATAAATACTTTAGCTTCAAGCATGGCTCTCCACCCTAATGGAACAATAAAACCATTAAGGGATGCTAAAAATACACCGATGCCAGGCCTCTCCCAGGCCAATTCAGAATCTAAAAGTAGGCAATGTACATATTTAAAGCCATCCAGGTGTTTGTAATGTGCTGCCAATGTTGAGAAAACCACTAAACTGGGCTGGCCACAGTGGCTCACACCTATAATCCAAGCACTTTGGGAGGTCAAGGCGGGAGGATCACTTGAGGTTACAAGCTCAAAACCAGCCTGCCCAACATGTTGAAAACCCATCTCTACTAAAATACAAAAATTAGCTGGTGTGGTGGCCAGTGCCTGTAATCCCAGCTACTCGGGAGGCTGAGGTAGGAGAATCCACTCCCACCTAATTTTTGTATTTTTGATAGAGATGGGTTTCACCATGTTGGTAAGGCTGGTCTCGAACAAGGAGACTCATTTTTTTTTTTTTTTTTTTTTTTTTGAGACGGAGTTTCACTCATGTTACCCAGGCTGGAGTGCAATGGCGCGATCTCGGCTCACCGCAACCTCTGCCTCCCGGGTTCAGGCAATTCTCCTGCCTCAGCCTCCTGAGTAGCTGGGATTACAGGCACGTGCCACCATGCCCAGCTGATTTTTTGTATTTTTTTAGTAGAGATGGGGTTTCACCATGTTGACCAGGATGGTCTCGATCTCTTGACCTCGTGATCCACCCGCCTCGGCCTCCCAAAGTGCTGGGATTACAGGCTTGAGCCACCGCGCCCGGCCAGGAGACTCATTTTTAAAAGATGAAGATACACCGATACACATCACCAAACATGATGTGCGTTTATAAATGAGAGGGATTGGAGTCAAAGAAGACCACTAAAAAAAAAAAAAAAAGAAAAAAAATAAATGAATAAAAATAAATGAGGGGGATAGGAAAAGGGCCAGGAAGGTGGGATTTGAAATGATTTATGAGTTTCAAAAATGCTGTTATTTATTTATTTATTTAGAGACAGAATCTTGCATTGTCGCCCAGGCTGGAATGCAGTGGGGTTATCTCGGCTGACAGCAACCCCCGCCCTCCAGGTTGAAGCGATTCTCCCGCCTCAGCCTCCTGAGTAGCTGCGATTACAGGCACTTGCCACTGCGCCTGGTTATTTTATTTATTTATTTTTTAAATTTTCAGTAGAGACGACGTTTCACCTGTTAGGTTGGTCTCCATCTCCTGACTTCGTGATCCATCCGCCTCGGCCTCCCAAAGTGCTGGGATTACAGGCATGAGCCACCTCGCCCGGCCTATTTATTTATTTTTAAAAATTATAAACAGAGACAGGGTTGGGTGTCACCATATGCCCAGGGTGGTCTTGTACTCCTGGCCTCAAGTGGTCTTCTGGCCTAGGCCTACCCAAAGTGTGGGGATTACAGACATGACCTATCAACGCCGGGCCTGGCTTTTGTGTTTTTGGTTTTTTTGTTTTGTTTAATTGAAGCTTAAGGTGCCTGACAGTCTGCGAGCTCCAGCTGGGAGGCGAATTCAGGTTTCGCTGTGGGGACGGAGGGCGGCGTCTTCAGAAAGCTGGACCGTAAACTGCAGCAGCTGCGCGCTGGGGAGGAGTCCCAGGGTCATTAACTGATCTTCGGCTGCTGGGAAGCCGCGGAGTAGCAGCGTCCGGGTGGGGCGGGCCGGCTGGTGCCGGGGACTTTCTTCCGCCTGGTCAGGCAGATTCCTGTTTTCTGTTTTTCAAAATTCAGAAAGTATCTCTCAATATTTGTCCAGAAGCGTCTGAAACATACTTTCCTGGTCTTTCTTTCACTTTGCTTTATTTCTATGTGGACGAACAATGGGAAAATGCCGCGCGTCTAGCCAGGCAGATAAGAAAACAGCCATACCGTCAGGCCCCCTACCCGGCGCTGTTATAAATAGCGCCCGCCCGCCATTGTCGTTCTCTTGGCGCGGTGGGTTCGTACGTTGGGAGTGTGGCATGGATACTGTCTTTATACCGTCTGCTGCAGACCCAGCTGCCGAGTGATGGGGAGCAGGGGATCCCTACGGCCTGCGCTGCCTTTGCACAGCAAGCAGCGTGCGGGTATATCGCGGCCCCCAGTCGAGCTGGGTGAACTAACATTGCAGATAAGAATTTCTAGTGTCGCTGCTTGGAACCGACCTACCTCGTGGCCGGGGGAACTCGGCTAGCCTCGCCACAGCCTCTGCTGATTCATCGCAGTATCACAACGGTGAGCAGGCTCATGCGAGATGGGGGTGGCAGTCGCCCGGGGAGAGGACGGGAGTGATGATGACCCTAGGTGACTCTGAGTGTGTCGCTGACGCCATCACCGCAGCGCTCTGACTTTCCCTAGGTCCACGATTCCTCGACCTGGGCTCAGCGAGTTCATGGCCAAGATCTCTTGTTAATCTTTTGTTCTTGTGTTTCATTTCCCCGTTAGGAATTGTAAGACGTCCATCGCTGTATTATCCTTGAGTAAAGGTGAGTATTAGTTGCGAGAGCCTTTTGAGTGCCTCTTGGGAAAGCTTTGCTCCCAAGCTTTCGTTCATGGGCATTATGCGCCCCCCCACTTTTTTTAAGAGACATTCTGTCACCCTGGCTGGAGTGCAGTGGCAAGAACACAGTTCAGTGCGGCCTTAAGTTCCCGGGTTCAACTGATTACCTTAGCCTGTATCCATTTTTTTTTTTTTTTTTTGAGGCAGGAGTCTTGCTCTTGTCGCCCCGGCTGGAGTGCAATGGCATGATAGCTCACGGCAACCTCCGCTTCCTGGGTTCAAGCGATTCTCCTGCCTCAGCCTCCCGAGTAGCTGGGATTACAGGCGCCCGCCACCACGCCCGGCTAATTTTTGTGTTTTTAGTAGAGACCGGGCTTCCACCTGTTGGTCAGGCTGCCCGCTGCAACATCCGCCTCTCGGGCTCAACTGGTCCTCTCTTTCACCTCGGTCTTCTGGGACTACAGGCACGTGCTACCACACCCGCCTAATTTTTAATTTTTTTTTTTTTTTTTTTAAATAGAAACGGGCTTTTGCCATGTTATCCATGCTGCTTTCGACTTGGGCTCAAGCAACCCTCTTGCCCCGGCCTCCCAAAGTGCTGGAATTACAGGCGTGAGCCACCGCTTCCAGTCTGCGTTTTTACTTTTTAGTAAACTACCGTATTTTTGTTGAAGGCTGGATAACCTGACTCCTTCACTCATTTTTACTGTAAACTGAGAGTACAGTGGGGCCTCCCGGTGGAGCTGTTCTCTGCAGTTTTAAATTACTTTCTACTTCTCCCTCTCTAAATGCATCCCTGGACTCATTTGTTAGACCCTTGTATATTGGGACTGTTGTGCTTTCTTTGAATGTGGTAGATCTCTTTCCAGAGGGGCTTCCCTTGATCCAGATCTCCCTAATTGGGAATGATGATCTCACAGACTAGAGTCTCTGATGCTGGTCATGATGTCAAAACTAAGTTCTGACTCACTTAGGGGACTGGATACTTGGGTATCCAAGAGGGGGCCAATGGGAGGGCCATAATTCTGTTTATTTTCAAATTGTCTTGTTTTCACCTTGTTAGAATGAGCTCTGGAAGCCCCAGCCAGGGACAATGCCCCTTCACAGAGATTCTGCACTAGCCTGAGTGAAGGCGTAAGGTTTGGAGCCTTCCCCTTCGGGGAGATGAGCTGTATAGCTATCACGCCTATATAGTGACTCCTGCGACTGACCTTCAGGCTGGGAGAGGTGGAGAGCCATGCCTGATCTCCTTCGTTGCTATGGTGAGTGTCCTTCATTTTGGCTCTCAGTTGGAGTGGTAATGATCTGGTTAGAGAGTCTCTGAGCTTTTCTCTGAGGATCTTTGAAACCACCTGATAATACTCTCCATCCTGCCTGGAATCTCATGTGCTTCATTTTTTTTTTTTTTTCTCTCTTGAGACAGTTTCACTGTGTCCAGACTGGAGTGCAGTGGCGCGATCTTGGCTCACTGCAACCTCTGCCTCCCAGATTCAGGCAATTCTCCTGTCTCAGCCTCCTGAGTAGCTCGGATTACAGGTGCCCGCCACCACACTTGACTAATTTTTTGTCTCTTTAGTAGAGACCGGAGTTTAACCATGTTGGCCAGGCTGGTCCTTGATTCCTGACCTTGTGATCTGACCGCCTTGGCCTCTCAAAGTGCTGAGATTACAGGCGTGAGCCACCGCACCCAGCCCTGTGCTTCATGTTTTTATGGTCAGCTACTTATGATGAGGTTTAATTGGCTGTGGTTCTGCAGTATGTAATACATGAAACGTAGTGCTAGCATCTGGCTGGCCTCTGGGGAGACCTCGAGAAACTTTATATTGCATGAGATGCAGATGGAAGCAGGTCTGTAGCATGGCCAGAGAAGTAGCAGTGGCGGGGAGGTGCCACGCATTTTTAAGCAACCTGATCTCCAAGGAACTGACTGTCATGAGCACAGCAGGAAGGAGATGGTGCTTAAGCCATTCGTGAGTACAGGGTCTCACTTTGTGTACAGGTTGGTCTTCAGCTCCTGCCTCAGTGAGCCACTGTGCCGGCCTCAACATGTTTTGTGGTTTTTTTTGTTTTGTTTTGTTTGTTTTTTTTTGGTTTGAGACGTTGTATCGCTCTGTCATCCAGGCTGGAGTGCAGCTGTGCAATCTTGGCTCATTGCAACCTCTGCCTCCCAAGTTCATGTGATTCTCCTGCTTCAGCTGCCCAAGTAACAGATTACAGGCACGCGCCGCTACACCCAGCTAATTTTTGTATTTTTAGTAGAGAGTTTCACCATGTTGGCCAGGCTGATCTTGAACTCCTGACCTCAGGTGATCTGCCCACCTTGGCCTCCCAAAGTGCTGGGATTACAGGTGTGAGCTGTAACATCTGGCAAATTTTATTCTATTTTTTGAGATGAGGTCTTGGCTCTGTTACCTAGGCTGGAGTGCAGTGGTGCAGTCACAGCTCACTGCACCTGTAACCACCTGAGTGCAAGCTTTCATCTCACTTCATCCTTGGAGTAGCTGATGGCCACAGGCATGCATCACTATCCCAGCTAAATTTTTTTTTTTTTAATTTGAGGACGGGCTAGGTGGCTCATGCCTGTAATTCCTGCTCTTTGGGAGGCCGAGGCTGGTTGATCACCTGAGGGCAGGTATTGGAGACCAGCCATACCAACATGGTAAAACCCTGTCTCTACTAAAAATACAAAAATTAGCTGGGAGTGGTGGCAGGCATCTGTAATCCCAGCTATTTGGGAGGCTGAGGCAGGAGAATCGCTTGAACCCGGGAGGTGGAGGTTGCATTGAGCTGATACGATGCCATTGCACTCCACCCTGGGCGACAGAGCAGTACTTCATCTCAAAAAAAATAATTTGTAGATACGGGGTCCCAGTATGTTGCTCAGGCTTGTCTCAAACTCCTGGCTCAAGTGATTCTCCTGCTTTGGCTTCCTAAAGCGTTGGAATTGACAGGCATGAGCTACCATGCCCAGCCTTGACTTTTAGTATAGATTCAGGGGGTACATGGGCAGTTTGTTACATGAGTGTATTGTATGATGCTGAGGTTTGGGGTAGGATTACCCCCATCACCCAGGTAGTAGGTGTAGTACCCAACAGTTACTAAACTTTTGCCCCATTCCCTCTCCCAGTGTCTGACGTATGCCCACGTATACCCAACATTTAGCTCCCACTTAAAAGTGAGAACATAGTTACCTGGTTTTCTGTTCTGCATTGATTCACTGAGGATCCTGGCCTCCAGCTGCATCAGTGTTGCTACAAGGGACATGTAGCATGTCTCTTTTTTTATTGGTGCATCCTATGTGGTTGTAATGTTCTCTTTATGAATTTTCAGGAATTTGCTGACGAAAAGAATATCTTCTGCCTGGTGCTGGGCATATCCTAAGAACTTAAAACTTTCCTGCATTACCCTATGTGATCAACTGTCAACTTACTGGGGGAAGAATGCTTGAAATTTGGGGTCACTTCAGGTAGATAGCTTCTACTTCCTATATTTGTCTTACACAAGTATCTGGTTTTATCAAAGTAATTCTAATAAAATATTTTAAAGTAAATAAGACATTGTTTGGTCTCAGTGAAAATGATATGATACAAAAAGATTAAGGAAAGTGAAAGGTAAAGCCCTATCAGAGTTAATGCTAAGAGTTAGACTGTACTCCACCTTAACCCTAATGTTAGAGATTCTAGGTTGGATGACATAATATTATATATATAATACACTAGAGTAGACATTTTTGAAATTTGGTTTTTTGTTTTTTTTTTTTTTTTTTGAGGCAGAGTTTCACCTTTGTTGCCAAGGCTGGAGTGCAATGGTGCAATCTTGACTCGCTGTAACCTCTACCTCTTGGGTTTAAGCGATTCGCCTGCCTCAGCCTCCCGAGTAGCTGGTATTACAGGTACCTGTCACCTCACCCAGCTAATTTTTGTATTTTTAGTAGAGAGACGATTTCACCATGTTGGCCTGGCTGGTCCTGAACTCCTGACCACAGGAGATCCACCCACCTTGCCTCCCAGTAAGCCACTGCACCTGGCTGCATGAGAGATTTTTAGACAGTCTCGCTTCCGGGCCCTTCAAGCTGACCTGCCTGGCTTACAGTTACTCTAAGAGCAGCTGCTACTTTAGGTACTGCAGGCAGTGAGCCTCCTAAGGCCTGGCCTCATCCTATCTCCCTACTGGAATAGGAGACAGGAATCCTTGGAATCCTTACCCACTGGCCAGTGTGCTGGTCCTCCAGGTGACACCGCCATCTGCCCATTGTTTAGTCCTGACCTTTGGAATCTGCCTGACTCCTTTCCTATTTTTACATGCTACATCTAATTTGTCAACAAATCATGCTGTCTCTACCTTAGAAATGACATCAGGATCTGTGTCTCACACCTCTACTGCTATGCCATCCTGGTGGGAGCCACCTTTGGCTCTCACCTGCAACTGTCCCACCTGGTGTCGTGGCTTCCACTTTGCCCTATTACAGCCTCTCTACACAGCAGCCAGAAGGTTCCTTCCAAATCAGGAGTCAGGTCATGTTTCTCTTCTGAAGATCCTGCAATACCTCCCATTTCACTCAGTAAAAGCCTCCATCTTACAAGGACCACCCAGCAAGTTCTCCCCATCTAGCTAGCTCTGTCATTGTCTGACCTCATCTACCCTCCACCCTGGCCACACTACAGAAAACCAGGAGCTGCTTGGAGCTCTCTTGTCAATGTTCAGGGAGTAAAGTTTGCCCATTGGCCAGGGTCACAGTGTCAGGCTTTAGGGGTACACCCAAACCTGCACCAACAACTCACAGATCGGAATTTGTATCAGTTGGGCTGTGAGGAAATTCTAGGGCCCAGAAATAATCTTAAAAACTGTTTTGGGCCAGTCGTGGTGGCGTGTGCCTATAGTCCCAGCTACTTTGGTGGCTGAGGTGGGAGGATCGCTTGAGCCCAGAAGTTCTGGGCTGTAGTGCACTATGCTGATCGGGTGTCCGCACTAAGTTCGACATCAATATGGTGATCTCCTGGGAGTGGGGGACCACCAGGTTGCCTAAGGAGGGGTGAACCGGCCCAGGTCAGAAACGGAGCAGGTCAAAACTCCCATGCTGATCACTAGTAGTGTGTTTGTGCCTGTGAATAGCCACTGCACTCCAGCCTGGGCAATGTAGCGAGACCTCGTCTCTTAAAAAAATATATATTATTGTCCGGGTGCTACAGCTCACACCTGTAATCCCAGCACTTTGGGAGGCCAAGGTGGGTGGCTCACAAGGTTAAGAGATCAAGACCATCTGCACAACATGGTGAAATCCCGTCTCTACTAAAAAATAAAAGGTTGGCTGCTTGTTATTTTCTTCCCTCATTTTTTTCTGTCTCCATTAAGCACAATTATTGGTATAAAAGAGGTTTTCAATACCCATTTTTAGACTGCATTCTAGCCTGGGCAGTAAAGCAACACTTCTGTTCTCTCTCCCTCTTCCTCTTTCTTCCTCTCTTTCATTCTTTATTTTTCTTTCTCTCTTTCTTTTTTGAAAAATAAAAAATAAAATACAAAAATTAGCTGAGTATGGTGGCATGTTCCTGTAGTCCCAGCTACTAGGGAGGCTGAGGCAGGAGAATTGCTTGAACCCGGGAGGCAGAGGTTGCAGTGAGCCGAGATTGTGCCCCTGCACTCCAGCCTGGTGCCTAGTGACAGCAAGACTGTCTCAACAACAAAAACAAAAATGCATATATGTGTGTGTGTACATATATATATATATATGCGCACACATGTAATTTTTTTTTTTTTTTTTTTTTTGAGACGGAGTTTTGCTCTTGTTACCCAGGCTGGAGTGCAATGGCGCGATCTCGGCTCACCGCAACCTCCGCCTCCCAGGTTCAAGCAATTCTTCTGCCTCAGCCTCCCAAGTAGCTGGGACTACAGGCATGCGCCACCATGCCCAGCTAATTTTTGTATTTTTAGTAGAGATGGGGTTTCACCATGTTGACCAGGATGGTCTCGATCTCTTGACCTCATGATCCACCGGCCTCAGCCTCCCAAAGTGCTGGGATTACAAGCGTGAGCCACTGCGCCCGGCGTAATTTTTTGAACTATTTTGGGGCAGGGCACAGTGGCTCACGCCTGTAATCCTAGCACTTTGGGAAGCTGGAGCAGGCAGATCACTTGAGGCCAGGAGTTCGAGACCAACCTGGCTAACATGGTGAAACCCCGTCTCTACTAAAAATACAAAAATTAGCCAAGGGTGGTGGTGCAAGTCTGTAATCCCTGCTACTCTGGTGACTGAGGCAGGAGAATCGCCTGAACCTGGGAAGTGGAGGTTGCAGTGAGCCGAGATTGTGCCACTGCACTCCAGCCTGGGCAACAGAGCAAGACTCTGTCTCAAAAAAACCAAAACCAGCCAGGCGTGTTGGCTCAAGCCTGTAATCCCAGGACTTTGGGAGGCTGAGGTGGGTGGATCAGGAGGTCAGGAGATGGAGACCATCCTGGCCAACATGGTGAAACCCCATCTCTACTA